GGGGGGGGGGATCAGGTTCAGTTATGGGGCACAGCGAGATGTGTGGGGCAGAGCGCTATGGGGCCGGGATCGGGTTCAGTTGTGGGGCTGCGATCCGTGGGGCAGAGCTTCGCTCCTCCCGTTGGCTGCGCCTTGGAGCGGGCGGGTATTTGGGCGGATGTTTCGCCGTCGCGTTTTCTTGACGTCACTTCCGGCGGAAAAGGTGGTGGGGCTTCAAGTAGGGCGGGACTTCCGGCGCGTTCTCTTTTACGGCGTTCGCTTGGCGGCGTGCGGTGCTGTGAGCGCGTGGGGCCGCTTGTGGGGTTTTGGGGGGGGGAGGGGGGGGGTTGGGGTCGATGTGGGGCTCTATGGGGCGGGGGTGGGGCCCTAGGGGGTCGATGTGGGGCGGGGTGGAGCCTATGGGGCCGATGCGGGGCTCTATGGGTCGGGGTGGGTCCTGTGGAGTCGATGTGGGGCCCTATGGGGTCGATATGGGGCCCTATGGGGCCGATGTGGGGCCCTATGGGGCAGATTTGGGGTCAGTCTCTATAGGGCCGGGCTCTATGCGGCTTGGGCTCTATGGGGCCGCCCCATAAGCGCCCCCTGCTGCCCGCAGCGCTGTCGCCATGTCGCGATTCTTCACCACCGGCTCCGACAGCGAATCCGAGTCGTCGGCGTCGGGAGATGAGCTGAGCTCCAAACCCGCGGCCGGCAACTACAGCAAGTAGGGCTCTGTGGGGCTCTGTGGGGCTCTATGGGGCTCTATGGGGTTTTATGGAGCTTTATGGGGTTTTATGGAGCTTTATGGGGTTCTATGGGGCCCTATGGAGTTCTATGGGGCCTTGTGGGGTTCTATGGGGTTTTATGGGGCGCTATGGGGTTTTATGGGGCCTTATGGGGTCCTGGGGGGCCTCATGGGGTCTTATGGGGCCTCATGGGGCCTTATGGGGACCTTGGGGACCTTATGGGGTTCTGTCGGGTTTTATGGCCACTATGGGGCACTATGGGGTGGCTATGGGGCAGTTATGGGATGGTTATCGTGTTGTATGGGGTCCTGGGGGGTTTTATGGGGCACTATGGGGCGGCCATGGGGAGTTGCTGGCTGTGTTTTCAGGCCCCTGCTGCTCAGTGAGGATGAGGAGGACACCAAGCGCGTGGTGCGCAGCGCCAAGGACAAGAGGTGCGGATCTATGGGGCTCTATGGGGTTCTGTGGAGTTCTATAGAGTTGTGGGGGGACCCTGTTTGTGTGTTGGCCCTGTTTGTGTGTGGGGGGCCTGTTTGTGTGGGGGGCCTGTTTGTGTGGGGGGCCTGTTTGTGTGGGGGCCTGTTTG